TTATTATTACACTGTAATATATAATGAAATAATTATGTGACTTACCATAATGTAGGATCAGTGGGAGCCCTGAGCTTGTTTTCCTGCAACTAGATAGTCCCATCTGAGGGTGATAGAGACAGTGACACATGAAATGTGTTGCTTACGTCCAGTCTACTCTGTAATCTCAATTCGGTTGCTGTCACTGCAGTAAATCCTGCTTCACAAAGATAGGATGTTGGACATGAAAGCAGGCTTTTCAGTGTGTCTGTGGCAATCTCAGGATATTCCATGTTTACTTTAATCCAGAACACATGGAGATTTGAAGTCTCAAACATACTTTGAAGGCCACTGTGACTTGTGATCTCAAGCAGTTGATCCTCTTCCAGCATGGACAAAGTTGATTCACCTGCTTTATTCACAAATGGGTCACAGATCCATTCCTTCCCAGTTTGGGGGTCTTGTGGTTGGGAAGTAAAGCTCAAGCTCTTCTGAAAGCTGAGGTAGGTGATCATGCACCAGCTGGGAGAAAGAAGGCCCCGGCTCAATGTCTTTCACAATCTCTGCTCATGTTTGTTTGAAAAATGTCAGAAACCCCAGCGTTCACTCATCACCCCTGTAATTCCAGTTTGGTTTTGAATGCAGCCGCTTTATCTGCCGACTTGAACACAGTTGTCACTCTCCCCTGAAGTGACAGATCGAGTTTGTTGAGGTTTAATATGTCACACAAGTAAATAAGATTCATAACCTATATATTCTGTGTCACTGAAATGTGTTCTAGTAGTGACTTTTTCTAAATCTCTGAAGTGGCTCTTGTAACTCAGAAACTCTGGCCAGTGATCCCCCTTTAGAAAGCATCTCACTTCTGTGTATCAGAGAAACTGTGTGTGCTCTGCGGCCATCTCGCAGGGCTGCGTGAACAGACGTGAGTTAGGGCATACTTTAACGTGGTAGATAATTTTAATCACATCCTGCAAAATGTCGGTAAGTTCAAGTGACACTTTTTGGCTAGCCAGCACTTCTCTACAGATGACATACTGCATCAACTCACACTTAAGACGTGACCTCTTTGACCTGAGTAGTGAAACCAGAAAGCTGTCCAGTCACAGCAGCCGCTGCATCCATGCATACAACACAAAATGACCAGTTTAGTTTCCCTAATATGTGATAATTCAAAGACTTGAAGAGCAGCCATGATGTTAGTTGGCAACTAAAGTGCACACAACATATCCTTATGCACATCCCTGTGAAAAACATGCCACAGAAAAACAAGCACTGTAGTCTTGTTGTCAATATCAGTAGACTTGTCAACCTGGATTGAGTATCACAGTGACTCATTAATTCTAACAGTTGTGTCTCAACATCCGCTGCTATTTCATCACTTCGTCTAGTTATGGCGCTGGCTGAAAGAGCAACATGTGCCACCTTTTGAACTACAGCCTCTCCTAAAAGCTCATGACAAATGTCCTTAGCAGCAGGCAGGATCGACTCCTCACCAATGGCCAGTCCTGGCTTTGGCACTAAGTGATTGGACAGTAAGAACGATGCTTTCAGTACAGACATATTTGATGAAGGTGTGGCCTTCAATAATTGCTTCTGCTCTTTGTGTTTATGTTTTTTAATTCTGAAAGCTCCAAAGGCTTGTCTTTTAATGCAGGGTGCTTGGTCTCCATGCAGTGAAGCAGTTTTGAAGTTTTCACGGCTTTGTTGGATAGTTGGTCACCACATATTCTACAAAGTGGGCTTCGCAAATGTGGTCACCTGTTGCAATGACCTATAATTTAAGAAGGACTCTTGGCATTTTCTTTGAAATGCAGCTTTGTTTTGGCAGTCTTAGTGTCTTCTGCTGTCAAATCAATGGGTCTGTCCCCCTTTTCAAAGAAGTTCTCCAGTGACGTTTGTTTGTTTTTTACTCATTTTGGTGAGGGTTAGTGGGTGGGCTTACCAAAACTGTGGCTGAGACAAGTGCGTAGTGCAGGAAAGAGATGCAGGTGGCAGCGGTAAATAAAATGATGGGTGGGCCACGCACAGACTGAAGTAAGTGTTGGCTTCTGACTTAAAGCCTGCCACCAGATACAGCTGGCCAATTGAAGTACATCAGCTCACTTGCCACTATAAAGCCTGCCACCAGAAGCAGCCTAATTGTCGCTTGCCACTCACTGACAGAATTTTGATGAGTCTGCAAGCAACTGATTTATTATTATGGCCTCTATGCAGTCAAACCTCTCTGCTAACATTCCACTGTGTTTGCAGCCACTGCCCAGCGCCTGCATCACCGCCTCAGCTCTACCTCAGATCATCAGGCATTAGATTCTCATCAAGAGTGTACAGCCTAGATCTCTGGCATGCGCAGGTGGAGCTCAGGAGTGGATGTGAGTGACGCGGAGTAGCTGGCTCTAAATACAGATGAAGCTTCCATCACTCGCCTGCCACTCACCTCCTGCTGTGTGGCCTGGCTCCTAACAGGCCCACAGACCGGTACTGTTCTATGGCCTGGGGGTTGAGGACCCCTGTATTTGGGGATGGATATCATGTTCAGGGGAGACCCTCCATGGACAGTTTTCCCCATTGAATATACTGTCCTGAGCCTTATGTCTATTAACGCTGTTTTTTTCACTTTTCCTATTTCACCAATTTCTACTCAGTAGGACATTTTACTACTCTTTGATCAGAGAGGAAAAAATAACAAGTCCCATTCAATTTTCTTCCTCCCAGACCTGAGAAACGCGACGAGATTTCCGGGTCTTGTCACATCCCGGGCTGTGAGCAAGAAACCCTCCACACTACTCCTGACTGCCGCCACTGCCGCTGCTGCTTCCCCTGCTGCCCTTGCTGAACTTTACAGAATTAGTTATGACCCTTTCCCTGCTTGGTTCCTGTTTCTCCCTACTTACTAGTCTTTTGCTCTGTCAGATAATTCTGTGTGGAAGTTTTGATCTACCGTCTTAACTCTGACAACTCTCTCTCTGTGTCTTAAGAAACTTATTTATCAGCTGGGCGCAGTGGCTCACGCCTGTAATCCCAGCACTTTGGGAGGCCAAGGTGGGCAGATCACCTGAGGTCATCAGTTCGAGACCAGCCTGGCCAACATGGTAAAACCCCGTCTCTACTTAAAAAAAAAAAAAATTAGCCGGGTATGGTGGCACATGCCTATAGTCCCAGCTACTCAGGAGGCTGTGGCAGGAGAATCGCTTGAACCCAGGAGGCAGAGGTTGCAGTAAGCTGAGATCGCCCCACTGCACTCCAGCCTGGGAGACAGAGTGAGACTCCATCTCACAGCCTCCTGAGTAGCTGAAAGAAAGGAAAGAAAAAGAAAATGTATTTATCTCTGTATTTCCATTACCGGATAAAATGCTGCACTTTGCTGAATAAATGTTGCTGAATTAAGGTGACATCACTATGGTGCGCATCATGAAAAACCAGAAGATTCTAGAATCTCGTAGTATTGCCATAGGATTGTCCAGTACTTAGGAGTACACCACTTACATGCTTATGTATGTTTCATTTTGACCCAGAGAATAGTGAAACAAATCCAGACAGGATGTTAAAGACATCATTAGTGTAGATGTCTTCAGAAAAAAGGTGAAATATGGGACAGAAGGGCGGACAAAACAGAAAAAAATGTACTGTACCAAGATGTTCACAGTGGTACTTTGGGAGTGAAAGAGAAAGCAGCTTTCTTTTCACTATTTTGTATATTTGGAGTGTATTACTCTCATATGAAAAGACTGTAAGAACAGGAAAGCAAAGCCAGTGCAGAACTTACAGGGCAGGAGTTTAGCCCCCACAACATCCAAAATCCCAGCCAGATTTCCTTGCACAGGGATTCACTGTCCTAACAGTCGGCACACCATCAGGACCAGTGGCTCTGGCCTGCAGCCTGATGGGGCTACCAAGCGCAGTCCCGGGGTAAGAAGCTGCATGCGTGTGATGCCCGCAGGGATGGAGAACACCGCCGAGCGTCAGACACAATGGAAACCTATCTTCACGCCTCACAGCAGAAAATGCTAAGGCATGCATCTATTTCTTGGTCCTAAGTAAATGACCGGTGAATATAGCCAGGATTTCAATTTACTTAGGCCCAATTTTCCTCTGTATTATTTTAAAAGATACTTCTAAGTCTTAATTTTCTCAGTGAAATCAATGACTTTTGCTGCATGAAGATATACTTGGAGAACAAAAGCAGAGCATTCTCAACTCAACTGCCTTGATTTATTTTAAGACAAAAGTCAGATGCTGCGGCAGTATGCCTGCTTTGCTCTTACGATGACCAAGAGAGGTGGCAGAAATGGAAAAACACCCCTCACAGGGCGGTGAGCCACAGTCTCCCCACCAAGTGTTAACTTGCCAGGGTTCTGGGCACCCTGCTTAGAGGGAGCTCTAAAAAGAACTAATTTATGATTTTTATTCTCTTTGCCTATTATTACAAGATGGATATATATATATATACTCAAATTTACAGCTGTCTCTCTCACTGAATAAAAACCAACAAAACTTCTTAAAACTCCAGATAATCTCAAATTAATGTTTCCCATTTCATTTCCTTTTTCCCCACTATATATTTTACCCCTTGGGCTGTTTCTTCTGAAATCCTATTTCTGCGAACCCAGAACACTTGAATTTTCTAAATCATGATTATTTCCTTTTTCTTTTCATCTCCCTTTTAATTAGGGCCACATACTCTTTCTCAGCAACCAATGCAAATTCATTCTTTCTACCCCAGCTCCAAAACCCATTTTTAGTATGTTATTTCATGCTCTCCTTCCTCCAGGCCAGGTGTCTCCCATCCCACCAGAACTGGATGCCTGCTCTGAGCCCAAGTTCCCTGCAAGGAGCACACATCCTCTCAGGGGTTCCCCACTCTGAGATCTACCTCAGTTCTTCTTTGCTTAAACTCTCCCCCATCCCCCACAGACATAGAAGGGCAAATCCAACCGTCTCCTTAACCATGTCTGATTAGAGTCTCTTGGAACTGAGGCCTTGCCCAGCCCTAGTCTGGATGCCAACCAGCAGGTGCTCACCGTCGTATACTCAAAGTAGTAAAGGCAGTTGTCAGTCAGGATGAACCAGCGTCTCTTCCAAGTCTTTACCCTGCCACCTGCAGAGCAAACAGAGATGTGCGTCCGACAAGAGAGAACCAGACGAGCGCGGGCTCCGCAACACACACAGCTCTCTCCTCAGAGATGGGGGGAGAGGCATCAGGAGAACGTGGAGACCACGACATCTACATCAGTAACAAGACACAGAGCCGAGACACAAGCATCTTTTACATAGTGAAAGTCTGTGGGTACAAGCAGAGCAAGCGCGTCTAGGTGACACCCTGGAGATGGAATCAGGACGGCAGGATGAGCATGGGTTTGGGAGGGAAAACCCAGGGGCGATAATGACACACAATGCAAATTTGCCAGAGTAAGCAAAAAGCCTACGTGGTAGAAATCGCCAAAGAACAGAAAAAGAGGGAAGGGTCAGCCCTAATGCAGGCTACTCTGCCACTGACAAGCAGCCAGCACATAGGAGTGTTTCACTGGAAGTGAAGGAAGGGGGAATCAGGAGGGAGATGCTGGGAGGCTTCACAAGAAAATCCATGCTTTCCTTGGAACATGGAACCAATTCCCATGGTTTTACCCTCTTCCTCATCTTCATGATTAGAGTGAGCTTCTACACTGGCTTTTAACCTTATGTCCTGAAAACACAATCTCCCGAGTCCTGGGTGAGAATCAAAGCAGAATTCCTTTATCGAGGAATAATCAACTCATACTGAGAGGCTGCCTCAGAAGTCTTTTCCATTTTGGGAAAAAACAGCTGGCAAATTCAGCTATGGCAAAACAAGCTCTGGCAGCGGCAGCTGAGAGGCTGGCAAGGGCCTCCCTTGGTTCTTTTTAGTATTTCTCAGTACAAAACGTTGGGGTCATGGCAGGTGCGGTGGCTCACATCTGTAATCCTGGCACTTTGGGAGGCCGAGGTGGGTGGATCACTTGAGGTCAGGAGTTCAAGACCAGCTGGCCAACATGGCGAAACTCCGTCTCTACTAAAAATATAAAATCAGCTGGGGGTGGTGGCATGTGCCTGTAATCCCAGCTACTCAGGAGGCTCAGGCATGAGAATTGCTTGAACCGGGAGGCAAACGTTGCAATTAGCTGAGATTGTACCACTGCACTCCAGCCTAGGTGACAGAGCAAGACTCCATCTCAAAAAGAAAAAGAAAAAAAAGGAAAAGTTGGGGTTGGGTCATAAAGTTATGCTGGGACAGATAGGAAGGAAGAAAAAAATGTAACCGCAGCTTATCTGAATGAAGCTACGCCTGCTGTCACATCAGGACCACGGGCTTTCTTTTCTTCCACCTCCCTTCCATCAAGAGAAAATGTTCTGAACATGAACCACCCAAAAATTACCCCGATGGCCTTCACCTGTGAAGCTATGCATGGCATTCTAGAAACACTTCTTGTGCCCTGTCCTTTTGCTAAGACTTAATCTACAGACAACATCACTTCTCCAATCATCCTAAATGGCAAGGACCATGGGGCGTAAATCTCATACCCCTGATCATGATTTCTCTCTTGCCCTCATCACGAATAGCTGAGCAAAGAGGAGGGTGGTTTTACAGGGACTATTTCCTACTGCCAGGACCCACCTGCATGCTCACACCAGAGAAACCTAAGGGGAGTATGTGAATAATGCTATGGAAAGAAAATGTCTACTGTAGGTCCTGGCAGACAAGTAAAAGGACCACTGGGCTTTCGGGTCTGTTTCGCACCCTGTTTAGATGCTGCACTCTAGGCGGGCTTACGAGACTGATCATTAATTGCCAAGATTCTAAATGACACAGATCGAGGTTATGCGAGGGTATCTGCTGTAAGCAAGCACGTGCCATCTGTCTGCCCATCCTGTGCTGTATCAAGCAAATTGAGACTCTCTCCCTCCAGTGACTTGTGAGTTTCATGTGAGCCCTTGCTGCTGGTCCCTAAAGGTTAGATGGCATGAATTAAGAGAAAACCATCAATGGATACTATGACATGCATGTGGAAAACAAGAAAGCCTGGGCAGAACTGAAATAAATAAGGAGGATAAAGAAGACAAGGACTATATTCAGGATTGAAGCCAATTTGTTCTTAAAAAGGAACCCCCGCCAATTCAGAGTCTGAGAACTTTGGTCTTCCACTGGTTGCCCACGCAGGCTCAGCACAAAGGGAACATCAACCCATGCTGACCGCCCATGCACTCCATCACAGGACACTACCCGGTAACCCTTGGGACTTAGGAGATCATGGAAAAAGGGAGTCAGATGCTAAAAGGAATGAGATGGAAGGAAATCAAGGAGAAAAAGCAAAGCCGGAAGAAATTCTCTGCCCGATTACAAAAGCTTGGTTATTTTCTTTAGACAACTTGCTGCATTATAGAGACCTCTACCACAAAGCACCACTGTGGCCCCACGGGGAACATTTCCACGTGGAAAGAAAAACAAACATGGAACAAGCAAACAGATCAATGCGCGCCTAGGACAGTCCCTGTGGAACTCACAGGACCACCTCCCACTGCACGGCTCCTCAGGCCCTCCTGTGACCCCTCGAGGTATCAAGGCCAGATGCCATCTTCCCCTACAGCTGAGAACAACCTGGAAAGTCCTAAAACATCTGAGTGAGTGTCTATGTTTGGGGTTGTTCTTTGTAAGCGTAGCTACTGCTCAGGGAATGCTTAGGCACAAACCTGAGGAGTCTTGGGCTAGGAAAGCATGTTTCCCCAAACCAGCAAATGGAGAGGAGACGCCAACAACGTAGCTAGGAGACTGATTTGGGGCTTTAACAAGGACTCGCTGAAAAAGCGAGGGAGCAAAACAAAACATAAAAACAGAGCCGAGGTTGTAATACCCTTCTCTGATCCCCAGAAAATTCAACACAAGGACTTCAGGAAGGGTTTTTCCGTTTGGAGTTTTTCTGTTTTTTTTATACTTCACTCGGTATCATTTTGAATTTAGGAAACACCATTTCCCCTTTTCATGCAAAGGCAAATGTCTTAAGTGTTGTCTAATTTAATTCTTTCCCTAATTTGTGTTTCCACATGGTAAATTTGAAGCTTTCCATAGCTTTGGGAAGTCAAGACTTTGTTCTCTCTGGAGAAAGTCTCAGCCTGAAAAAAGAATAAAAAAGACTTCCTTCTCTTCTTTCTCCTCATCCCCACTTCGGAGATTAACTTTCAATCGGGTTGATTAACGGATGTCAAATTGAGTATCAAACATAGCGCATGTCTTAGCCAATAATTCCAAGTGAAATGAAGTGGAAACTTCCTCTGCTTTTACAAACCCACTCTTAGTATGTTTTCTTGCATTACTGCATTCAGTAAGGAATATAACATATACTCCTCCAAAAAGGAAAAACATGCAAATTGCCCTAAACCCCTGATCCTGACCAGTTCCCTAGGGACTGTACAGTAAGTTAGAAGCAGCAATAACACTACCACCGGCAATTAAAAAACAAAATAACCAAAAATAACAAAATAAGAAAATGCTGCAGCAATGACAGTGGCCTAGGCAGAGCGAGCGAGCAGGGTGAGGGGTTACATACCTCCTGGAGTTTGGGGCAAGGAAAAGGAGAGCCAAAATCATGGAAACATACAAATGAGGGAGAAAAGAAAATTAAAACAAAGAAATTAAATCCGATTCCTTAATCTTAAAGTGCAATGTATCAGTCACATTCATGCCTGCCTGGGAGAGAGCTGAACTAAAAACACTAACTGGGTAAGTGATCCCACTACAGTCTGGCACAGGAACGAGGGGCTCTTATATGCTACATCCCACTTCATCAAGGCAAGATTTGAGGCACTATTGGAAACCTGGCCCCAAAGATGCCACAAATCGGCTTTTACAAAGCCAACGTTTATTAGTATATCCAGAATCAGAGCAAAGAAAGCTAAGATTATTTCAGGGAAAATTAAATGTCTTTCTTTAGATGGCTGTCACTTTTTAAAGTGTGTGTGAGAATGCACACACATATACCCATGAATACACATGTACATATGTGTATACACAAGAATACACATTCTTATGTCTATATGCATACACAGACATATACACACAACTACAGATGGCTGGAAGCCCTGCCTTCTGCAGCACATAAACACAAGGAGTGATTCTAAGTGTGCTACAATGAAAAGACAATATTCAGAGTTTAGAAGGGTTTGATGGAGGTTTAGAAAAAGTAATGCAATGAGGTAAAACTGAGTCCCACACTTGGTTAAATTTTCTCTTTTTTAAAATATATCTGATGCCTCATGAATTTGCATGTCATCCTGGTGTAAGAACCAAGATAATCTTTGTACTGTTCTAATTTTAGTATCTGGGCTGTCAAACCTAACACTTAGTATCAGCATTTAAACAAATTTCACTGGAGGGGGAAGTAAATCCAAACTTGGACACACTTTAAACATTTCCAGTAGGTTTCCTTTTAACTCTATCCACTTGGCAATAAGAATGTGGAAGGGAAGGCTGCCTGTGGGGTTAGTAATTTTAGAGCCTTAACTTCAAAGATTCTGCTGGCTTAGAGATATATAAAATGATGGCCAATTCAAGAGATATTTAAAACTGATGGTGAAGTGATGCTTTAAGGGGAATTTATGAATTAAGTCATTATGTATAAGCACAAGGACTTGGGATATGCCTTTAAAAGGAAATATAAAGTCTATTGTTATCTGAACTAGTCAGAAATAAAGGATTCCATTTTAGCCTTCCCAGATGTGTCGGTAATAGCCAAGAGAGTGCTGATGTCTAATCACCAGAGTGAGTAGTTACGCTAATAGAGGCGGGAACAGCCCCTGCTAATGTGGGAACCCAACTCATCAAAGGCTAAGGCAGAAGGCAACAGAGCAAAGTACGCTTTCAGTGGCCAAAAAAAAAGAATGGACATCATTATGTGCAGAGAGACTAGAGCTCTCTCCCTGTTCTGAAACTACTAATAAAATAATCACATGTGGACACGAATGTGCATGAAAACTCTACTAATGCTTTTCCTATTGATTACTCTATCACCTTCAGGGCATGACCACAAATCTCAGCAATACAAGCTCATCACTTCTGGCAGAGGGAAGAGGAATGCATTTCCAGCTTTTTTGAATGAACAAAATCATTAATGTGGCTGATTCGGATTGAAAGGAGGGGAAAAAAAAAACCGCTGCCCAAGAATGAGTAAGAGTGCTGTGGATTGCGCTGCAGCCAAGGGCTCTAGGCTTGCCATGCACACTGCCTGTGGGGGAGCCAGATGCAGAAGGAAGTGACGATGCACTGGGGCAGGGGCAGGAGTGCCAGGTACAAGTCTGTGTGATGGGAAGTAGAAAGATGGACAAGGTTGGCCACCCTCCCAATGGTTATGGGGACAGGGAAGGCAAATGGATCAGGTGCTCAGGGAAATGCCTTGAAACAAAACCTGGCCAACCAATTCAAGAGTGGAAACATGGAGCACAAAACACATGTGGGCAATAGTTACAGTGGAGTCAAGTCTGTTCCCAGTAGTCTCTGTGTCCCATGGGGGCAATGACTAGGAAGTCACTTCCTTTTTGGAAGTGGACCTTTGTTAGAACAGAACTCATACCAAAGTCTCTCTGGAATCCCCCATAAGCCACACCCTTTCCCATATGGTGTGTGTGTGTGTGTGTCCATGAATGCGCGCACATTCGCACGCACGCACACACACACACGCGCACACACACACACGCACACAGACAGAGAGAGAGCTTTCTTCCTAAGTCTCAGCTTTAGGAGCCCTAACCCAGAGACATTCTTACCGAGTTTCAATAGCCAGCCTTCTCGGTCTGGGTTGAAGAAAGTGTGAGTGAGGTCATTCCCGTCATCTTCCGGGATTTTGAAGGGTTCGTTTTTTATGCTCTCATAGAGATTCTGGGATAAAAGATGACAATTCATGTTTCTGATTCTAGAAATATTTTTTTCCCCTTTCTCTTAATTCATTCCACAAGCATTTATTATGTTCCTACGGTAAGCCAAGCCTGCTAAGTGCTGAGACTAGAAGAATATGACCATTTCTGCTTTCAGGTAGCTCACAGTCACAAAATAAGTAAGACTTCCCAGTGAAGAAAATAAAGACAGCAGCTCAACTTCTATTCAAACCTTTAGTGTCATATTTACAAACCACTGTCCCTTTCCTGATTCAGTAGCTGGGCCTCACTACCAATTTCTTCATGAAATTCACATGGTTAAATAAATTAAAAGAGGAGACCCTTGATAAATCGTATGTCTTTTCTTCCTTCCTACAAAACATGATCCTGTTCCCAGTGAACTCTTTCTTGGCTTGAATGAAGGCCACTCCTGCTTGCTTACCCGGAGTAGCTCCTCTGGCAGGTCTCCTCCATCATTGATGCCTCGATTCATGGCAATGAACCTCTCCACCGTGGGCTTATCTTTGACATTGGGGTTGTGGAGACTGGTGTTCAACATGATGATGGCAAAGGAGAGGACGTAACAAGTGTCTAAAGATGAGAGAAAAGCAAAGGGAAGCCGTTGTATGCTCAGATGATCAGAAACATCCCACCCACAAGAGTAAGAGATGCTAGATGAAATCAGAAATTAAAAAACCATGTTCTCAAAACAATGGGATGAATCCACACTCTCGGGCACAATGCTGTCTGAAAGGAGCAAGGCACAAAAAGCACATAAAGTATTCAAGACTTAAAGATGTTTATTTTTTTCAGATTGAAAAGGAGAACACACACACTGTAGAAAATATGAGAAATACAATGTATTAAAAAAATGCATATGATCTATAATGACCTCTCATGCCATTATCTAGCAGTACTTTGCTTTACTTCCTGTATGTAAATGTGTCTATGTATAAACACAGCACAAATTTATCTCACCAACATATGCTGTAACAAAACTGGAAACAAACAGATACATATATATGCTTTTTTGCTAATCTTCTTATTGTTTTCCTATGTCAATAAAAATTCTTTACAACATGGGTTTTTTTAGTTTTTGTGTTGAGACAGAGTCTCACTCTGCAACCCAGGCTGGAGTGCTGGGTACAATCATAGCTCACTGCATGTAGTCTTAAACTCTTGGGCTCAAGAGATCCTCCTGTCTCAGCCTCCCAAGTAGCTGGGACTACAGGTACAAGCCACCACACCTGGCTAATTTTTAGAACTTTTTTTGTAGAGACAGGGTCTGATTATGTTTCCTAGACTGGTCTCAAACTCCTAGCCTCAAGCAATCCTCTCACCTCAGCCTCCCACCCAAGGTGCTGACATTACAAGTGTGAGCCACCGCACACAGCTAAAACATGGTTTTTAATATTGGTGTATTTCATAGTTCAGAGGTACCACCACTTAAATTCCTAGTGCCTTACTGTGGGGCTTTTGGATTATTTCCAACATTTTATTATTATAAGTATTATTAAATAAATGTTTCTAGGCATGAATCTCAGCCCTTTGGTTTCAGAAATTATCTGGTGCCAAGAAAAGAATCCAGTGTAAAATGCCTGTCATAAACTAGGATGAATGATCATATTTACCCGTCGACTGGAACACGCCATTATTGCACTGACAGTATCGCTGGGCAAATGCCTCCATCATCCGGTCGATCTTTTGGGCCTCTCCCGGTAGCCGGAAGCTCCACAGGAACTGCCTGAGAGGGAGACAGAGTGTTCCAGAACTTGGGGAGACAATTTATTTCTCTGTGAATTGTTAAACTGCCAATGATTTTTTTTTTTTTTTTTTTTTTTGAGACAGAGTCTCACTCTGTCATCCAGGCTGGACTGCAGTGGTGAGATCTCAGTTCACTGCAACCTCCACCTGTCAAGTTCACGCAGTTCTCCTGCTTAGCCTCTGAGTAGCTGGGACTACAGGCGCGTGCCACCGTGTCCAGCTAATTTTTTGTATTTTTAGTAGAGACAGGTTTCACCGTGCTGGCCAGGCTGGTCTCAAACTCCTGACCTTGTGAGCCGCCGCCTCAGCCTCCCAAAGTGCCAGGATTACAGATGTGAGCCACTGTACCTGGCCACTGCCAATGATTTTTTAACATCAAAGTGCAAAGGGAGCCCCCTGAGCTTCAGCCTTCTGTTACTATAACTCTAACGAATGCAAAGTTGCCATCCACACCACTGTTATCTTAATCAAAAGTAAAATATTTCTTAGGAAAAAATGAGCAATTAAGATTTTCCTACTAAGGAACTGTTTCCCTCCTCAGAATAATACGCAAGACTGAAACATACATAATGGTCATTTTAAACAAATTCTATTTTCAGAAAACAACATGGGTGGCAAAAAGAGATGACTGTCTTGTCAAAGCATTAACAATTGATCCCTTTAAGTCAAAGAAAGACCCACAGCTGACAGGTTCAACTGTGGATTATTTCCATCCAGCTAAGTGATAGCACAAAAGATGATGTCATTATTTACACCTACAGCAGTGAAAAAACAGAATGACAGTTTCTTAAAAGGCAGAAAGTAACAGATTTAATAAAAAATTAAAGTTTACTTTTTTCTTTCCAAAATGAAATGCACAACTACTTATTCCAGGGCAGGAAATTAAAGGATTTTCTAAACCGAAGATGAAAAATTTCATAATTTAGTATTGAATTTCTAAAACCTCCAATGTAAGACTCAAGGAAGTGTGTTAGAGAATCTGCCTCAGGACATAACAAAAGATAATTCCCCTTGACCACCCAGTCATTTCTGGTCAGAGACCAATAGATTTCTTACTTCCCAAATACCTCAAGATATTCAAAATCATACCCAAAGATAGAATTTCAATAAAATGCCCCCCAGGACAGACTCATGATCAAAGGCTGGCCTCCCAATCCTTCCAAAGGTGCTCACCTCAAGAATACTCACCGTAGTGCCTGGACGAGATTAAGATCAGTGAATTCGTGCAGCTCCACAAATGCATGAAGAACCTGGATATTAAATTCATCTCTATAGAGAAATGACAAAGAATGGGAGAGAAAGCAGGAGTCAGACACCGACCCTGAGAATCTCCAGCCAGGCCAGGTCTCCTGCACTGCGTCCTATAGTCCTACGGCTGCCCAGACAGCCACTCACGCACACTGTCAGCAAGAAAACTGGCTAGCTCTGTTGACAAGCAAGATGTCCCCCAGGATCCCCAGACAGACCAACCACTCTTCCCTGAACAGCCTCCCTCAATACCAGTGTGGCTACAGACGCTTTAAGGCAAAAATCCCTCCAAGACCTTAAGGGTGTTTGGGAGTTTGTTTCCTTGTGTAATCCCTGAACAGCCTTCCCTAGCATCCGCATATCCCCAGGGCCTTACCTCTCCCCTAGGTAGTCACCAATGGCTGTCTTGTTGAGCCCTTCACCTTTATATAAGAACTGGGCAATGTCTTCACAAGTGTTCTTCAGCAGGTCGTTCTCTATTAAGAACTGGATCCCCTAGAAAAAGACAATAAAGACGCCAATGATGCTGTGCTGGGAACCAGCTAAAAAGAAGGGGAGAGGGCACGGGAAGAAATGGGTGTGGGTGCACTGGCATATTTAATAAATACCTGCTAATTGACCTAAAAAGCTAGGGAGTCACAGTTTAGGAACCAGGGCTTAGCACAAGACGTCTGCTCTACAAAACGGTGACATAAACTGTAACACTTGGAAAAAAACATCTTTAGGGTCTATCTAAGCACTATAAAAAAAAAAACAACCCATCTTAAAGATTATGGACCTCTTCCCACTTCTTTCTCACTTACCTTTTTAGGGTCCATATTAAATTTTTTCCTGCCCATGGCTACCTGTTTGTTCCTCTGCATGTTTTTCCTGTAAAACAACCATCACAGGCATTTTAGTACTTCAGGCCACTGGAAAGGCTTGAAAGACTAATACCATTTCCACATGCATCCACTGATTTACACAGATTTTTGAAAGATTTATCCAGGAAAACAACAGGTATAATCTGGTGAAGCTACAAAAGGTCAAATGAAACCTGATGCATGAACCTGGCTCCATGCTCATTTGCTCCTTCTACCTGAATCAGAAGTTTTCTTTCTTTCTTTTTTTTTTTTTTTTTTTTTTTTTTTGAGACAGGGTCTCTCTCTGTCTGAAGGGTGAAGTGCAGTGGTGCTGTCTTGGCTCAATGCAACCTCCCTCCTGGGCTCCAGTGATCCTCCCACCTCAGCCTCCCAAGTAGCTGGGACCACAGGTACTTGCCACCACGCCCTGTTAAATTTTTTTCTTTTTTTTGGTAAAGATAGGGTCTCACAAGCTGGTCTTGAACTCTTGGGCTCAAATGATCCGCCTGCCTTGGCCTCCCAAAGTGCTGGGATTACAGGTATGAGCTACTGTACCCGGCCAGTTTTAACATGATTTTGTAAAAACTTTATCAGGGTATATAATATTCCCACTATAGGTATGTATTTGAATTTTAGGAAACTGACTAAGTTGTGCGACATCACCACAATCCAGTTTTAGAACATTTTCATCTCCCTACAGAACCCCTCACACCCTTTTACAGTTTGTCCTCGCTTCCACTTCCATCGCCAGGCAACTCTTCATCTATCTGCTGTCTCCACACATCTGCCTATTCTGGACATATCATATAAAGAGAATCACAAAATATCTGGATTTTCAGATCTAGCTTCTTTCATTGCATAGTGTTGTCAAGGTCATCGTGCTGGAGCGTGGGCCAGTACTATACACCTTCTTGCTGCTGGATCATCTTCCATTGTATGGATAAACCACATCTGCTTATCCATTCACCAGATGATGGGCACGTAGGCTGTTTGTGGTTTGGGATGATTATGCATAAGGTTGCTACCAGCATTTGTGTGCATGTCTTTGTATGGACACATATTTTCATTTCCCTTGGGTACATACCCAGGGGTGGACACTGCTGGGTCATATGGTACATTTATATTTAACTTTTTAAGCAGCTGCTAAATAATCGGCACTTTCCTTGACTGTATCAGAATGAAAAATGCAATTTCTCAGACCATGCTTCTCAAAATATGGTACACCAACCAGCAGCCTTGGGAGCATATCAGACATGAACAATCTCCGCTCCTGCTTATACGTATGTATCACGTGGGGCCTCATCAAAACAGATGCTGACCCTATGTCTGAGAAGGGGCCTTCTATACGTTTGACACTATCCCATGTATGGAATCTGAGTAGAAAGGCCCTGGACTGGCTGAGTCATTCACAAGTACAAGGGGCAGAACCCAGGAATTTGCATTTTTAAAACCTCCAGCAGTAATTCTGGTGTGCACCCAAATTTAAGAACCACTGCCATCAATAGTAATTTTATAATCTCTGAGAGCAAAAAAGTTGCTCAGAAATAAAATCATAAAATATTATTGTCTTGAAGAACACATGTATTCTCTGGCTAAATCCATGGAAGGAAGAAAATACTTCTAAGCGTTTTGAGGGTTGGGTTTTTTGTTTTTTGTTGTTGTTGTTACAGGCAGGGCCTTGCTCTGTCACCTGGGCTGGAGTACAGTGGTGTCACTTTGGCTTAATGCAACCTTCAACTCCTGAGCTCAAGTGATCCTCTGACCTCAGCCTCCTGAGTAGCTAGGACTACAAGCAGGTATCACCACAACTGGCTACTTTTAAAAATATTTTGTAGAGACAGGGTCTTGCTATGGAGCCCAGGCTGGTCTTAAACTCCTGGCCTCAAGCAATTCTCCCAACTTGGCCTCCCCAAATGTTGGTATTATAGGTGTAACCCATCAAATCCAGCTGGTTTTGACCTTTTGAAAGGAATGCTTAAAAACTGTGAGTAGTATCAGAACTTCCAGGTGTTAGATAATCTGGGATCCCTTGTGAACAGCTACCTTAGGAAACAAAGTCACAGGGTCACAGGGAAGCACCATTTAATTTCAGCCAAAATGAAGGATTATAACCAGCTATCTAGAAATTCCTATTTAACTAAAATAATTGTCTAATCATTTTTTTTTCTAAATCCAGGAAGATAACTTTGATCAGTATTTCCAAACAAATACCACAAGGAAAGGCCTGTTTCATGGTTTCCAGTGTAAGTGCGGCAGCATCACAGGGCCCGCAGAAGCACGGGGTGAAACCACTGGGAATGTTCAACTTCCCGGGCCTCAGTCTAGTCCCTCACCACAGGCTTTCCTGCCGCCACCGGAATGCACACTCCCAGATCTCTGCCGGTCACAATCTGTCCACATGACTGCCTGGGACACACACCGGAGATGGCTCCCTCATTTCATCAGCTAGCCAGCTCACTTCATCTGTCCCACTTGGAGCCCCTATCACTCCAGTCTCTAGGCAGCAACTTCTCTAAGAGGCTTTCTCCAGTCTCTGCAAAGGGGCTGACACCCCAGTAAGGTGTCCAAAGCAAAATAGCTGTTACTGCTACTAGATCGCCAGTTAACTGATGTGTATACATTCCAGAAAGTTAAATCTTGTACTATATGAGTATATTATTTCTGCTTTATTAAACAGTATTTAGAATCGCTCCTACATAATGTTGGCATCAGGTTGTTGATGAGAAACATGAATTCTCTCTTGCAGGAAAGTCCGAGCAAATATAATACCTGGTTGAGAAACAAACGCAGGGTGAGCCCGAGTGCCCATACAGATGGATCCTCGGGGATCTGCAGAATCACTTCCCTCTTGGGGCTTTCGATACTGGAAATTCATTTTAAGTTCCAGATTAAAAAAAATAATAATAACCTAATGACCACTCCCTGACTCACAACTTCAGATGCCATTCATTAGTGACAAGACTTCACAAATTCACTGGCTGAGTACTTTGGATGCTGAGGCACTCACATTCCTAGTGTCTGCATTTCCTTGCTGTTTTATGGTAACTGACAGAGAACTGATCAAGAAAAAAACAAAGGGCACACTGAATTCTGAATATGTGTGTGTGGACACCAGAAGAGACAGAAAGGAAACATACCAAAATATGAATCCTGATTATCTCTCGGATGAGTGTTTATGAGAAATTTGTTTTTATATTTTTCTGTATTTTACCAATTTTTTACAATAAAAGTATATTGCCTTTATAATCTGAAAAAAAAGCCATTTTAAAAAACATTTTTAAGATCAAGGTAAAATTTACATTTAACAGAATACACGCATCTTAAGTGTACAGTTCAATTTGTTAAGTGCATATACCCTTGAAGTACCACTCATATTAATACAGAATATTCCTGTCATTCCTGTAAGTTCCCTACGGCCCTTCCTAGTCAACCCCACCCCACCCAACCCCAACAACCACCTTGAGGGCAGCCCCCCGCTATGATTTTTGCCACCACAGCTTAGTTTCTCTGTTCCACACGCTCATGCATGGAAGCACATGGTACCCACAGTTTCTTCTACTCATCACAGTGTTTGTGAGATTCCTCTGTGCTGCCGCACCTTAGTAGTTCCTTCCTTTGCACTGCCTATTACTTCCATCTATTTATCCATTCACCTGCTGGCAGACATTCAGGGTTATTTCCAGTTCCTGGTTATTTTCTTTAAGAATGCTATAGATATTCTTGTACAAGTCTTTGTATGGACATGTTTTCATTTCTCTTAAGTAACTAGGAGTTGAATTGCTGACGAAACTGCCAAACTTCTTACCCAAATAGTTACACCATTTTATTCTCACTAGCACTCGCCAACATGCAGTACCACCAATCTTTTTAATTCCGGCCATCCTAGTGGATGTGAAATACCATTTCATAGTAGTGTTAAACTGCATCCCCCTACAAGTCATGACATTAAGCATTTTTCATATGTCTACTATACATACGGCTTCTTTTGTAAAGTGTCCAAGTTTTTGGCCCATTTTTTTATCTGGGCTGCCTTTTTTATCATATATTCTAGATACAAGTCTTTTTTCAGATATGTGTGGTACAAATATTTACTCCTAATCTGTTACCTGTTCATTTCTTTTAATAGTTTATCTTTTATAAAAGTAGAAGTTTTAAATTCTACTTTAGTGTATCCACTTTATTTAAGCTACAACTATGTAAAATGGAAACAGGGTAAACTAATCCAAAATACCAAATGGGCAACACAGAGACTGGCCATGGTGAGCTGGCCACCTTCTGTGGAATCCTCAGCCTCACTAAATCCTCATGGCACTGCCCAAAGGAGTCTAAAACAACAAATCAAACAGTCCTATGAAGCCAGACAGGAGTACTTAGGCTTAGAAAAATACAGACATGTAGTGAATTGGAAACAGCCCATTTATTGTATTAAGCAGTCAGAAAACGGTCTAGGAACCCCATTCAAAACTAAACTCTCAAAGTCACTAGCATTTCATGTAAATAAAAGAAAAAAAAAGCAAAGAGTCCTTGTCCTTTTATACTATCATTGCATTTCTACATTTTCTTCTCTTAAGCATTAGGAAGGTGCAAATAAGCTCGCGATTATACTCAGACATGACTGGGCACTCCAGCCCTTTGAAACTGTATCAGCAGCACTCATTAAGCTTTTCCTTTACACGAGGGAAAAACAGAAACTTTAACATACACACACAGTGGACAACAGAGGGGAGTAATTCACATAAAAATTTAGGAGCAGTTTAAGGCTTTCCGGGACCTTTGAAATTCTCCAGTTCAATCCTTTTTTTTTTTTTTTTAAGAACCAGTCTTGCTCTATCACCAGACTGGAGTGCAATGACATGATCTCGGCTCACTGCAATCTCTGCACCTCCCAGATTCAAGCGATTCTCCTGCCTCACCCTCCTGAGTAGCTGAGACTACTGGTGCACACCACCACATCTGGCTAATTTTTGTATTTTTAGTAGAGACGGGGTTTCACCATGTTGGCCAGGATGGTCTCGATCTCTTGACCCTGTAATCCGCTCATCCCGGCCTCCTAAAGTGCTGGGATTACAGGTGTGAGTCACTGCTCCCAGCCTTCAGTTCAATTTTTTAAACAATGAAAGAAGCTCCTGTGTTCCGGAGGCCTTGCGTGATGGATGGAAGGCAGACATTATGGGAGTATATGTGCTTGCTTAGGACTAGAAAGACACAAAGCTGACTTCTTCCTTCAATGTGCCATGTAAGGGTAATTAAGGGCTGGGTGCTTTAAGAAAGTACAACTGCAAATGCCACCTAGCAGCAGGGCAGACTCACCTTTCCTCTGTGGATCCCAGGGTTTCAATCTCATTAGCTACTTCTGCTATCTCATCCTTCAGCCTCTATAAAACAGACAGTCCAGAGTTAGCAGGAAAGGGAGATGCAGAACAAATTAAACCCTCTAAAATCTCACATAACTCCCTCCAACCAAAAACAAAATAAAATAAACTAAAATGAAATATGACAAAAATGCAAAAAAGTAAATTAGGAAAATTCATCTGTTTCAGAAATATTTGCTGGGCACGGTGGCTCATGCCTGTAATCCCGGCACTTTGGGAGGCCAAAGTGGGCGGATCACAAGGTCAAGAGTTTGAGATCAGCCTGGCCAATACGGTGAAACACATCTCTACTAAAAATACAAAAATTAGCTGGGCGTGGTGGCAGGTGCCTATAGTCCCAGCTACTTGGAAGGCTGAGGCAGAAGAATCGCTTTAACCCAGGAGGCAGAGGTTGCAGTGAGCTGAGATCGCGTTATTGCACTCCAGCCTGGGCGACAGAGCAAGACTCCATCCCTAAATAAATAAATAAATGAAATATTTATTGAGTTCCTACCAAATAGTAAGCATTCTAGAAAATACCAAGGTAGAAAAGGATACAGCTCTGACCTCATAGAGTTTACAGTCTAGGAAAGTTTATAAGCATATATATTATGTAATAAACAAAAACTGGCTGCCTCATCACAATCTTTCAGAACAAATCTGCAGCTTACTAAACACAAGTGTGCCAGAAAACTCAGAGGACAAGTCTCCTGCCCAAAGGCAAGACGCAGAGCCAGCAGTAGCTGAGCCAGGGCAACACTGCCACCACGTGGTTGGCAAAGGGAATGTCCGATGAAATCGACTGCATCCACACCCACCCTCATCTCAGCACACCCTTGGTCCAGATGGATGGACTCTTTTTCACTGGGAAGCAGGGCTTAAAATGGGGAACTGCTCAGCTTTCTCGGGATCTACCAGTGAAGCAGAAATCAAAGGATCAGGGAGAACTATCAAAATATACTCAAATCAACTGTGGAGCAAGTCAAGTCTTTCCTCATTTTGCTACTTTGGGTAACAGGATTCCCTCTTTAACACCACTCCTAATGTTTTACAAAGAATTCTGAAAGAATAACATTTGATGCCTTACGGTGAAAATAATCCAACTATTGGCTTCTAGACTTAATTCTTATAAAGCTGGATAATTATGAAAAGGAACTTGGAAAAACAGTAAAATTGCTATCACTAAGTCTATCCACAGGTACCAGAAATAATGCTGTCTTTTATGCAAAGTCCTCACAACAACTGCGTAGTAGGTGTTTTCATGATCAGACAGATGAAGAAACTGAAGTTCAAGAAACTGGAACTCTCTTGTCTCAAATCATTCAGCTAGAAAGCAGCAGAGCCAGGGCTGGGGCAGGGGCCAAGCTTCACCTGAAGCCCACATTCTCACTGCCTCTCCTCATCCACTCTGCTCCACGAGGGCAAACACAGCAGAGAGAATGCTACTCAGGAGACAGGAGTCCTACAGGGTATCTCCATCTCTGACAACTGCCCGACTGGGTGAACCTTGACAAACCATTCAACCTCGGATTTCCACCTACTCACTGGAGAGCAAAGGCGATACCAACACCCACACTTTGGGCAGAGCTGTAGTGAGAGCAGGTCAAAAGTGTCTTAAGGAGATGCTCCGCAAAGGACACATTTTGATACAAATGGAACTGTCACCACAGTTCTTACACTGGTGACACCACCGTGCTTCTCTCCTACCTGAATGTCAGCCAGCAGCTCCTGTTTTCTCCGTCGGATGTTCTCCAGTTCTTGACGCTCCTCTGCGGTCAGGTCACTGGGAACTACAAAAATGGAGGGAAATGTTACTAAGAAAGCTTTTATCTCACCAAAAATAAAGTATGATCCAGAGGCCATGAAAGGAGAAAGATACCAAGAAAGAAACTAGAAGCTAGTTTCAGAAATGACTCAGTGATAAGAGTTATGGCTCCAGTTCTCATCAGATTTTCTAAAGAAAGGAAGGCCCTTAAATCCCACAGGAAATCTCTGAGAAAGGAACTCTTGGAAGGAAAAACAAGAGAGAAAAGATTACAAAGGTTAAATTAGGTTGGCTATGAATGAAAAAGGGTGAATATTAGCTGAGTGCCTGGCCATTTTCATCCCTTCCAGCTGGGAGACTTCACGTTGACATTTAATTAATCTCTCTAGGCCTCAGATCCCTCATAGTCAAAAACAGAGCAGTACCAGGGCTCACTGAGTTGAGCTCCAACATGGAAAGATGTCCATGACCCCTTGAGGTGGGGAGGGGAGGCAAGTGGCAAAGCAACATATATAATTTTGTGCCACCTCTGGGAGGTGTTTGGAGAAAGAGACTATATATGCGCTGAGAAAAAAAAAACAAACTAGAATATACACCTAAAATCAGTGCTTAACTCTGGGAACTGGGATTACGGCACTTTCTCTTTCCGCTTCATATCTTTCTTCATTGTTTGGATGTTTTAAAATGTGCTCTTATCATCAGGGCAAAGTTATTTAATTCCCGGATCACAGTTCCCACCACAAAATACTTCTGCAATCCTCCAATGGCTCAATCTCCCCCACTTATACAAAGAGGAGATTTAGACAGACACCCTCTAAAATGACCCTCTGAGCATGCTATGGGAAGCCATGTGGGCAAATGGGAAGAACAAGCATTAGAATCAAGCAAACAAGGTTCAAATCCTAGCTCCAATCTACCAATTATCATATTAGGTCACTTCAGACAACTTATGTAACCTATTTGAGCCACATCTCATCATCAATAAAGTGGCGCCACCGTCACCCACTTGAAAAGGCTGATGTGAGGATGATGGAGACTAATTAAAGTGCCTCAAACCCTGCCTGGTTCTGAGCAGAAGCTCAGAAGTCTTGGCTCTTGTTCCCTCTGTGGCACAGCAAAGGACACCCATGCTCCTAAGGCAGGGCGTGGTGTGAGAGTCCTTCTGTCCTTCAGTGGGTGCCTATGTGAGCTAGAGCTGCACTGTGCAATATGGCAGCCATGAGCCCCATGTGACCTTAACCACTGGAAATGTGACCACCCAGTTTGAGATGTGCTGTATGTATAAAACATACACCAGACTTTCTATAAAAACAAAGGAAATGTCTTTTTAATAATATTTTATATTAATTACACATTGATATAACTTAATAAAATGTATTATTTTAATTGATCTCAAAGGAACTACTATGAAATAAAAGTGCATCTATGGCTTTCTACCAGACAGCACAGAGTTGGAATAACATCTCTGCTTCAAAGCATAGTTAGGATATGCATACTCTCCCTTCTGCCCATGGCATTCAAACTTAATCTACTACATGCAGAGAGCAGTTACTTTCCCCAATTATTTCACAAAAATCACCACAAGAGGGTAGAAACAATAGGCTACGGTGAAGCCCACAGAATGGGTTAATCAACCACATTAGAAAAGCCGACTTTTTCCTTTCTTCACCTAGTTTTTCCCCATCCTTCTTTAGAAAAGTGTTCTTTAAACATCTCCAAAATCCAAACTAAGAAATGCATTTTAGTCCAGGCCTGGTAGCTCAAGCCTGTAATCCCAGCATTTTGGGAGGCCAAGACGGGGCAGACTGCTTGAGCCCAGGAGTTTGAGACCAGCCTGGGCAACATGATGAAACCCTGTCTTTACTAAAAAGAACACCAAACAACAAAAATTAGCCACCTATAGCAACTCAGGAGGCTGAGGTAAAAGGACTGTTTTAGCCTGGGGTGCAGTGGTTGCAGTGAGCCAAGATTGCACCACTGCACTCTAGTCTGCACAACATAGCTAGACCCAGTCTCAAAAAAAAAAAGAAAGAAAGAAGAAAGAGAAAAGGAAAGAAAGAAAAGAAAGAAAGAAGAAAGAAAGAAAGAAAGAAAGAAAGAAA